AGGAAAAGTGTAGGAGGTATCACGTGATTCTAAGTGAATTAGGTTAGCTACGTGTGTTCCATGGTGAGTGAGAGTGAATGAGTGTGTGTGTGTGTGCGCGTGTGTGTGTGTGCGCGTGCGTGTGTGTGTGTACCTGGGGACAGGGTGTTGAGGACGGTGCCAAAGCGAGGGGGCCGACATCTGGAAAGTGTCAGGTTTAATGCCCAAAGCCACGGGCCCAGGTCAGCTCAAAGTACATGTTTGCTCGGAGCCGCAGCTGTGCAAACTCCCGCCCGCCGGGCCCTGCTGGGCTCGTGCCAAGTTCCCTCAGAGACAGTGGCCCCTTTGTCAGATTCCGTTCCAATCCCCCGTTTCAAAGTCGCTGGCCTGCCCCGGGGCCCCGCCGCCAGCAGCTGTGGGCAGCATCTGTCTGAGGCTGCCTTCATTTCGCCTCGAGAAGGAAAACATCGTAGTTTAGGGGCGCACATTCTGGCCCGGCCGCCAGAATTCACCCCTCCCCACCCTCAGGAACCCCTGTGTCCCAACTGATTGTACACCCACGCCTTGGGCTCATTAGGGCGTCCCAAACACCCCATGGCACAGCCAGCTCCCCAGCTTCATTTGGTTCTCGGCGGCTGTCACTTGGAATGTGGGGTGTGGTTCGTGTTTAGAGGCCGAGGAAGACGCGCCCGTGTGACCGTGTGCGTGTGAGCATCGCGTCCGTGCGTGGAGGCGGGGTGGATTAGGGACCGCTTGGAGATGGCCCGCGTCTTAGCCTGGGTCCAGCAGAGCTTGAGACGGAGGCTTGTGGGCAGGAAATTTGGGGTTGTGGTCCCAGGGGACAGGAGGCAGGGAACAGGCCGTGCTGTGCACGGAGTTGCAGTCACTGAATCACCTATAGAAAAAAAATGTATGTATGTGTGTGTGTATAATCACTTTTTCTGTAAAGAAATTCTGGAGAGATAGGGTCCAGTCCTTCTGGAGTACAAGGATGCTTTCTGTAATTTGTTCTTAATATTTTTCTCTTAAGGATTCTATTTGATCCAACGTTTGTCGACGACCTACTAAGTGCCCAGCACTCCCCCAGGTGCTGGGGATCGGCCGATGAGTCAGACAGGTAAAGCCCCCCATCCATGGAGTTGCCTGCTAGTGGGAGAGTCGAAAAGCGAACCCCATAATCTTAAGTGGCAGTCTGTTCCACGAAGACCATAAAGCAGGCGATGGGGTCCCCAGGGACAGGGAAAGGAGGGAGGGGCGGGGAGGCAGAATGGGCAGACGGCGCTTGCCGCGGAGGTGGCCTCTGAGCAGAACCCTGAACGGCGAGAGGAATCTAGCCGTCGGCTCCAAGAAAAACATTTCCTCGCCCTCCGCTTCCTCCTTGATAGAAGCCTGGGCAGCGAGGCCGCTTCCGGCGCCCAGCGTGAGGAGCGGTCCTGAGAAGCTTCCAGAAGTCCCCCATTCTGTCCGGCTGGCTTCTCAGCAGGGTCTGTGCCTGGACACTGGCAGGTGCCAGGAGCCTCACCGCAGGTATGGAAAGGCGACCTGAGACGGGGCACTTTCCTTCGCTGGATTCTGTTTTGTAGCCATCACGATGCTTCCTTGCACATTAAGAAACCCTGAGACGTTCTTCGCCTGACGAGCGCGTTCGGAATTTCTCAACGTTCTTTTTTTTTGAGCCTTCTTTCCCTTTGCACTTGTTTTTCTTCTCTTTGTTTAGCTTTTGAGCAAAAACTTCCTACCCACCGTGATATTTTCCCCGTGCATAGCTAAGTAGGCTAGAAAAACAGTAGCATGAAACATGGCGGGTGGCTCGAAGTCAAGGTCAACAGCAGGCTGGGAACTTCCCAGGAGCACCTCGGCTCATGCAGCAAGTGGCTTCAGAGTCACTTAGCCACCTAAGTTCCATGCAGGGGCACCCCCCCCCCCCGTGCAAGATGCCACTTGTTTAAGTCCCTCGGGTGAGAAGTGGCAGTTGCAGACGTCTCGCTTAGCGTGTCCTGGAGGGAACACAGAAAAACACTTTGGAACCCATCTGTTGTGTGACGTTGGTGATAGAGCATCCAGCGGTCACTTGAGGGACATTGGCTGATCTCGGTTTCACCCAGCAAAGTTAAATCTAGCTGCGAGACAATGACTCGAATTTAAAAGGATTAACAGAAGCCCACGGAAATGGTGATTAAGCCCTTG